TAAATATGTATAAAATAATGAAGCAGATGATAAATGATAATGATAAAGGCCGAGATGAAATTTTTTGATCGAATAAATTGAAAAATATATTAATTTTATATTAAAAATGAACAAATTTTTAAATGTTGGAAATTTCTGTGATCGAAAGAAATACAAGCAGTAACAAGCTATTCGACATAACTGATAAGAGATGACGTTATTGCTACATTATGAAGAATTCCTTCGCTTTGCTATCTTTATATCTGAATTTTCCATATTAATTGATTTTGTTAAAAAAAAAATAGGAGTATGCAATTCTTCGAAAAAAAAAAGACTGATAAAACAAAAGGTAGAAACATTACATTTTAATCAGCAGCAAATCTAGTCAACCAACATCTCTGAATGATTAATTGTTTGCTAAACTTGTTCAAAATTTCATCATCAGATTGCGCATAGTACATTCAATTTTTAAACCAACTCAGAAAATTTAACAACTTAAATTCAATTTTAACTATTCTAGTATTGGATGAAATCGCTTGGTAAAATTGTTTAATTTTTCAATAAAATGTTAATGTTTTATGAATTGACCTTACGCCAAGTGTAACTATGCAAATCTACTTTTATTTAAAGTAAGGTAAAATTATTTGCCTATCTTTTTATTCACGCATTATTTATCATTAAAAGTTGTATGGATTTGAACTTTTCAAGAAATTAATAAATATTTAATAATGATTAGAAATATGAATATACGAAATAAATAATTTAAGGAGCGAATTACTTTTAACGATTGATGATTGACATATGTTTGGAACATTTTTAATCAGTTTTCTTCCTAAAAGACCAATTAATCTTCTCCCTACACGAATTGTGAACAAATGAATTATGCTTCTTTTTTCCTTTCAAATTATAATTTGATATTACCAGCAAATTTTATCAAACATCCGGGAACACATTACTATAGTAATTTTTTCGATATTTAATATGAAATTAAATAAAAAATAGAAATACATGAATGAATTTTTAACGATAAGCGATAAAACGGACTTTAATGGTACCGTTAATCAAAGTTTTGCATTTTTTTAATCGTAATGATGACAATAATGAAGCTATCCACTATATATTGGTAATAGTGAAATTTCAAACTGTAAAAAAGGAATAATTGCTAAATTAAATGATGTTGGAAAAAAGTGATTTGGTTGGTTTGCTTCAAACTCCCTCATTCTTCAAAAAAAAAAAAAAGAACGAAAGTTTTGATTTCGCTGAGAGAATCAACTTCGACAAACAAAATTTTGATAATAACTGATCAGACAGGGAACGATTCATCTTTCTGTTTTTTGCGATGACGTTATCTATACGCTGATATAAATTTTGTTTATAAAATAATCATGAATGAAAACGATATTTTGCTTCGCATGTTCCTTCATAAATATGCTAAATGCTAATTGATAATTAGCTGCTATCAATTATGAGGTTCTAGTTGAAGATAAGAATGTTTTTTATGAAATGATTATATGTGAAAAGCTTCACAAAATATGGTAATTGCTAAGTAGCCAGCAATGATATTTTTATCAGTGTTAGTTGAAGTTAAGAAAAAGATTTACATGAAGAAAAAATGAATTTAATGGTAGAAAAATTATTTGTCACCGTTTGCATAACAATATTTGCATTAAATATTAATAATAAAAAAAATTATTCCCTTCCTTAGCAACAGTAAAATGTGGTAAAAATGGAACATTCTGCGTACCTAACAGACTTTATAATAACCAAATTAATGCGAAACAACTTCAATTATTCACCCATTTTAATAACATATTGCCATCCTATATATATATATAATAATTTGTAGGTAACGAAAAAATTTTGTCGTGCTGAAATTATCGTTGAGATCGATCCTATGTATGCAACATTTTGCTTACAATATTCATTTCCTATAACTGTAGGTAGGAATCTTCCCATAATTAAGAGAAAAGTGTGCTAGCATGTTATTAAAATATCAATTCATAATATCTAACAGAAAGAAATTATTATTAGAAAATCAACAGCATTTGAAATAGCAACTGAAGAAAGAACAAATTAAACCTCAATTGACATACAGAATGATAGAAAGATGAGAAAAGGGTCAAAGCTTGTCATCATTATAAATAACATTGAAGTGGTTGCAAAAGTAATCATTATCACAATATTGATTCCACTAATTAACGTACAAAATTTGCTTTCTGTACCAGAAAATGTAATGATTGAAAATAAATCAATAACGATCAATAAACTTGTCTGATCATTGAGCGTTATGTTAATATAGCTGGAAAAGTATCTGTAAATAAATCAGAAAAGCTGTAAAACTAACTGGCTATTTGACATATTCGACCATATACAAATATGAAAGCATACACTAAACACTACACTCGGTGTACCACAGAATCACATGATGTTCCAAAATTTTACTCCAAGCCACAGTTCCGAATCTCTGGGACTGTCTCGGAAAACCCGAAGGAAGTTGTAATGTGTTCAAGCAATTAAAGAATTTATTGTATTGAGCATTTCAGGGATAACAGATTCATCACACTCACAAAAAATATAAAACGTTTTCCCATATCTGAAGTGATGAGTCAATTATCTAAGCTTCAAATCTTCCAACAATGCACTTTGTTTGATGTTGAGTTTGATTGCAGTTTTAAATTTTGTGAAGATGCTACATTTTTTTCGAAACACTTTTAACAATGGCAGTTTAACTTACCTTTATTTATCAAATAGCAACACAATTGCCATCAACAATTTCAGTGCATCTCTTGCACGTCTGAAATTTGAGGAGATGCAATGAGCAAATCGGTTTTGAAACCGATAAATTGTTTAACCTGAATTGAAAAATTGGACTTCTAATCAACTTATAATAGCGTTGAACTGCAAATTATAACAAATTATAACATATGTATTTCACAAATGATGGACAAGATGATATTTTTAAATTTTTGGAATCAGTTGTTCCACAAAAACTAAAATATGCTTTGAATTATTTCCTTTCCAGTTTAACTTTGCGTATTTTAGAATATATACAATTACATGAGCACAGTCAGAACAACGAAATAGAAAGCATCGTTGGCCTCATTAATCAAAGCTCTAATTGTGATTGTGTTTTCAAAGCACAGAAATTGGCAATTCAGTTTACATATTTTGCATGATATTCGGCAATTCAAATGAATCATCCGTTTTTATATATCATCAAATATTTATCACATCTTCATTACAATATCTTTATAGCTCTAACTGCTGACAAAACAATTAAATCACTTAACGAAATTCATCCGAACTGTGCCATCCGAAACATCCGAACTTGAAACGGAATTTCAGTCAATCACTAATAAAAGTCATCTTCCGTAGCTGGATTTTCTCCACTAAATTTTCGAAAACCAACAATCGCATATGTAGGACCGGCATGAAAACGAAATTCCGTTTCAACTTGATAGTCAACTCCAGTCATCGATGATTCATCAAGTAGGCGTAATGTACTCAGCGGAATGTCTGGGAATGTGTTACTGTAAAGAGAAAATGATATCTATAATCAGATCAGAGAAAAGACAAGGCTAGCCGAATCGTTTATCCTGTCCACTTTTGCTGTGTCATTCTCGCAATATACCAATATGTGATTCTGGAAAAATGAAAGGCTATCACTTGATGACTGTTAAGGAAGAGCAATTCCTTCTGCAGAAAAATATAACACAATTAGCAAAGTTATAAGGAGCATATTTTCGATAAATATCGACAAAACTTGAAGTCACGTTAAAAACGCAGTCAAACCTCAAAAGTATGAAGGATTAACAATCTTTTAATGAGAAAATGACTTCAAAACATTAACGATTACGAATAAACTGAAGTAAATTAAAAAACAATTAAAGCGAATGAACACGTCAAACCTCCCAGTCCTCAAACTTTGTTTTCAAAATATCGCTGGTATCATTTTTTTCTACTAAAAGGGTCAATGCTTTTACGTCAGGTCCGTAAAACACTAACACTTGGGGCACTCCTATCGCATTGATGTATGCTCTGAAACTGAGATATTTGTTACGGCAGTATTAAAATATTGATCGTTTGTCCATAATTATTATAGCATTCGTCCTATTTCGTAAAGCCTTCATCGGTATATTTCAATTTGTTATTAATCACAATGACCAACTTCACTGGATCCTTGGATTTACGATTATCTTATTAGAATAAGCTCTAGTAATGAAATTTTTACAGAGCAATTTTGTCGTAATATTATTTCTGACACAAATCCAAATTTATGTAATTCTATGAAAGGTTTCTAGTGACACGAAACATTCTGTTATTCCCAATTCCTATAGAACAACTGTTTGTGATAGTATTATTTACTTTTTTTACATAATCTGTGTGAAATATTTTCCGTTTCGCAATGCATGTTATTCAATGCAAAATAGAAAACGGACAATAATTTCGTTTTTTCTGATTTCCTGAAAAGTTGGATAGAATCTGTTTATCGCAGGTTACTTACTCTTCATTATCATACATTTTCTAAAAAAGCATTCCTTTTGAATTCTTAGTAGAATACCGATAGTTTTTTCAGTTCCAGGAAAAAATTCTCGATTCATCTTCCTGGCATTCCGAAAGACATGTAGGATTATAATTTTATATTAAAATACAAAAAGCACAAATAATAGAAAATGATGTAAATTCTACAACCTTCTCTGAATGAAAAATTATGACAATCGATGGTCCAGCTTGCCTTTGGATGCTTCTATTTCTGACACAAATGCAAATTTATGTAATTCAATGGAAGGCTTCCACTAACACGAAATACTCTTTTAATCCCAATTTCTGTAGAAAAGCCGTTTGTGACAATTTATGAAAGGCTTCCAGTGACACAAAATATTTTGTTAATCCCAATTTGTATAAAAAAACTGTATGTGACTGTATGTGACAGTATTATTTACTTTTTTGCATAATCTGTATGAAATGCTTTCTGTTTTACAATGCCTTGCTATTCAATGCAAAATGGGAAATTGAGATTAATTTCGATTTTCCCTGAACCTTTCTGATCTTTGACTGATTCGATTTTTTCACTACAAAAGGTCAATATTTTCGTTCAGAATTCAGTCTACCGTCACAAATTGCTTCCATCCTCACCAAATTCGTTTCTACAATTTCTTTTACTCATTTCATAGCATTGATTAGTCATCGTAACTATTCAAAAAGTAAGTATAAAAAAGTAAGTATAGAGCTTATCCTTCACTGAAGCAACCGAATTTGGGCGCAAATCTCATACATATTACCAATCATTTACCGTCGTTACTCATCAAAAGAAGCATACGATAAAGTGGCGAAATGAAAAAATTTGTTTTACGAATTACTCGGAGGAAAATTGCATCCTTTAGCAACCAGATTTATTACACATCCAAAATGATTGGATTCATTCTTTAAAAAATTCGAAATTCACTTATAATAGTAGAAAAATTCGACGATGTCTTAAGATTATTCAAATCATTGAGTATATTCTTAATTTACAGCTTTTGATAACAATGGATTTGAAATATCTTGCCATCCTCACATTCATTGTGAGCCATGTAGTATCATCGAATATTACATGAGCAACAGGTAGACTTTTTGGATTTCTAAACTTTAAATTTAAATGAACTTCTTTGAAGGGGTCCATAATACATAATTAGGAAATTTGAATGGATTTACCCGCTTAAATATGTGAAGAACAAGAACATTAGCGACGAATTTCAGGAGGGACGGATGAAGAAGGACCTAGCGCTCCCAAAAAAAGAAAGACTGAAACTAAATTTCGGTATCCCAATAATGAACTACTCTCTACTCTTGGACAACTGGAACATGTAATTGTTAGTCACTTGCCCCGTGAAGATTTAAGAAAGGAAATTAGCACTTTTCTTTCACTTATATATTATCACGCTATAGATATTTCCCAAGTGTTGGGAAAGCTATTCCGTTGATTGTTGGATATTCGTTTGTTGTATATTGTGGAAATTTTGTTTGAACGTAGCTTTAATTTCGATAATCCGACACCAACGTCAAAAAATCATATCCGCCAAATTCTGTGATTCCAATTACTAGTAATTGTAGGAGATAAGGGAAATTGAAATGAGTTAATAAGCTATAATGAATTGATTGTAAATAATAAAAATAATGGATTTCTTCTTCATATCATTTTACAGGCAATGATGTCTCTCCCGGCTTTTGGACCCAGCTTATATATCTTAAGAAGTGAGAGGCGGTCATCTTGAAAACCGTAAACTGCTGAGAGCCAAATTACATAAAACATGCCCATCGAACAAAGGATAC